CGAACTATGTTTTCATTATAACTAATTATTCCTAGACGATGAAACAGTTTTCCATTTTTCTATTTTTATAAACAATACAAACGATTATTTTTTAAATTACTCATTTTTCATGAATTCACGATGAAATTGAAACAAGAATAAGGCCCAAGGATTACTTCGGTTTTGCAATTTGACCTTTGGCATGACCTTTAGAATTTTTCCTTTTTCTCCTTTAATAATGGAGTGTTGAGACCTATTGAGATAAACCCGAATGTGATACTGCAAAGTTTTTACATAACTTTAATTTCTGGTCCCAAGGCAAGCATCAATTTTTATAATAAGAACACTATGAGTATCATAATTTTCATATAATGCTCATTATGACTTTTTTTTCGCTCATTTGAGTGTTATATCGATGTAAAATCGTTCACTTGAGTGTTTATTCCGTCAATTCGTCTAACGTGGCTTTTTTCAAATTATATTTTGAATCCGACATGGCTTTTATAAGAAATTGAAGTCTGACGTGGAAAATTCTTCATCTAACGGGGCAAGAGCTACAAAACAACCACGTTTTTGGGGAAGACTTGACTCTCTCTCTCTCTCTATATCTCACTCCTTCCTTCATGAAATCGTAGAGAGAGTGTGAGAGAATCTATTTTAGAGTTAGGGTTCTTCATCAACGGATGGCACGAACCCTCTTCCCCTCCCTCGTTTGCTCTGAGAAACCCAATCGGTTTTGATAAATTTTGCCCCCGATTTCAGCATGAGGGTTCTTCACCGACTTTTTCAACTCCGGAGAAGTTTGCCCCGATTCATTATATTAGATTAGAGTTCTTCAAATAGATCTCCAAACAACGTCATTGACAAAATGCCGATGGCACTCGAGTAAATGATTATTAGAAGATGTGGCACTTAAACGAGCCGAAAAAAAAATTATAACACTCAAATGGGCACCATGCGAAAGTTATGATACTTATGGCGTTCTTATTCATTTGCGTTGCTTCACCTAGTTAACCACTTTAGGTCTTTATTCTGAACTTGAAAAATCTAATCTAAAGATAGCACAACCACCGGTGCATCTGAAATTGTTGAAAGCCAATTCGTTTCGGACAAAGTTTATCTTTCTTGTGGTTGCATTTTGTCCGTGCTCTCGAACACTTTATAGTAATAATTTTACGCACATGAATCATAGGATGCCTTAGGGGAGAAAACAGAAAACTATGGCAAAGAAGATGGCCACTGAGATATTATTATTGTTGGAAGATCTCTAGAATTTTGCATGAATAAGAAAATAGATTATGGAGCAAGAACATGAGTTTCGAACCATCCTTCACGATTTTTTTTTTTTTTATGACCGAGGATCCGCCCGTACGGCCCCACTGGCTGACAGCCGGATAGAACCAACAGCGACTATACCTCGGGGGAGCTAGCCCAAGACCCCACCACCAGGGCCCCCCACTTAAGACGCTAGCGATCGGAGATTTGAACCCCTCACCTCTGCGATGAGGAAGAGGAGCCAAACCAACGCAGCCACCCACCGGTGGGTAAATCCTTCACAATTTGATCTATATAGAACTAGAAAAAAGATATTTCCATACTTTCATAGATCATTTCTCTAGATGATTTATGTGTATATATTGTCAAAAAGAGATGCATACGCTAGATTTTTCAGAATTTACATTTGAAGCGCAATAAAATGCCGAAAATTTTAAATAGTACGATCGATTCTTGATACTTGTTACAAATCGTGGCTTTTGTGTTAGATCCTTCCGATGAGGAAATATTCAACACCGTCCTTTTCGTTTGTAATCGCAGGGCACAAGCGCAAAAAGCTCGGCCTCTTGAAGGCCATGGTACACTCTTTGAGGTCTAGACCTGAGCATGTCCTAAAATTACTTCGCCTGAACTTTGGGACTTTAAAATTCGGGGGTATTCCCACAAGAGAAGAAAAAAAAACTTTCTCTTCAATTAGGGAGGTTAAGTGTGACGGCACTGGCACGTTAAAATAAGAAACGTAGTCCTAAAAGCCCTCTAGGTGTATGCACCTAGATAGGTAGGGTAGCCCTAGTCGAAAATTTCAATTTCTCCTGCTTTTGTGTGGTACCCTTGGTAACCACCACAAAAAATTCAAGGCTGGCCCACCACCACCAAGCTTGGTCTCTTGAAGGCTATCTGTAAGGACCTCGGCCCCATCACGCTTCTGCCGCGCCACTCCTTGCGTAATATTATCCGTTTTGGACACTAAGTCCTCGTACATGCGGTCGGGAGTTGGCTCTGATACCATTTGTAAGGACCTCGGCCCCACCACGCTTCCGCTGCGCCACTCCTTGTGTAATATTGTTCGCTTTGGACACTAAGTCATCACGGTTTTAAAACGCGTTACACAAGAATTAGGGGCCAAGCCTTATAAACTCACCAAGATCTCACTTCCTAAGCAATGTGGGACAAGAGCAATGCAATCCCCTCGCCATCCGCGAAATCCGGGTCGTTACACCATCGAACGGTCTTTAGGTCACATGCGCCGGTTAAATACAGATTATGTACATGGCTCGGACTTAGAGAAATTTATGTGAATGAACTCCAGTTCCTGAATTGACCGAGCCAATAGCGTCGACTCAAGGGTTCTACATGTTTTTTTTTTCGATTGTTCCGCTCTCCCCGTTGGCCTTTAGATTTGACTTTGGTATTCAATGCGCATCAAGACGACGTCCTCTCTAACATGTAAATAGACGAAGAAATCCCAAATCATGCCGTCTATATGCATTCGAATTCGGCCATTCAAATTCTCTAATCTCGATGCTCGACGTCTTCAGGCATAACGACAAAGGCAATGATAATATAACAAACACTATAAGAACACAACCAACCAATGAAAACCCTTTTTTTGTCTAGGATTCCTAAGGAACGTGAGAAATCGCCCGGAAAAGTATTAAACCTATTAAATTGATATCAATTTAGTCATAAAATATTTTGATCTAGTGTCAATTTAGTCATTCCAATTAATTTTGGCCGGATATTGATGACATAGACCCCAGCCGGCCTACTCGCTGACGTAAATAATTTTTAATAATATTTTAATATTTTTTCGAATTTTATTTATTTATTTATTTATTTATTTTCCTTTTCTTTTGTTTTTTGCCCATTCTTTTCCTTCTTCCTTCAATCGGTTGCTGAGGTTCGGCAACCGACTAGAGTCCAAGATCAGCGAGGTCGACCTTGCCGGCCTCTGGTGAGCCTCCCCGACCACTGGCGAGGCTCGCCACCGGATCTGGCGAGTGAGCGAGTTCGAACCGCGTCCAAACATGGTGAGGGCTCAAGCCGCGCTTGTCGCGATCTCACACGCTTAGCGCGAGGCCGCCCTCACCAACCCTAGCCTCTGGGTGGTCGCCGAGGTCCGACGACTAGCCGGAGGAAGGGAAAGAAAATTTTGAATTCGTACAAATCATGTCGCAGAACACAGAAGAGTTGGATGTATATCCAATGAAAAACCCTTGTTTTGTCTAAGGTTCCTTCCTGAAGAAGATGGAAATGATTTTAAATTGGTACAAATCATGCGACAGATCACAGAATATTCTCATTTATCGACTTAAGCTAACAGGACACCTCGTGCAGTGACTTTCTTGCCGTTCAAGTCTACGAATAATAAAATATATAAATATATAAATAAATAAAAGGGTCTATAAAATAAACAATAGTGATTCGATTTAAACACGCGTGGGACGTACTTCCATAATGTCCTTATTTTGATAATTTCAGGTTTTCGTTGATATTTTATAGTTAATTCACTACGAAAAGTAAAAGTCGAGATAACAGCCACGCTTTTAATTAAAAAAAACACAATTCTCAAATGGGTTTTATTTTTTTATGATTACAATTGTTCCTCTATTATTTATTTATATATTTTCATGGAGCGACTATTCGTGTAAAAAGAATACGGCATAGGTTGATTCGAGAAAATGAATAAAAAAAAAAAGCAATACCTCCAGTAATGCCAAAACAATGGCCTTTGTATTTTTAATTCTAGTAGCTGCATTTATTCCATAAGATTAGGTAAAATATTTTCTTTTCAGCATTTCGGCATTGCTTGTGTTAAAGTACTTTTTTTTTTCAGAACTCGTGTTAAAATACTTGAATAGTACAAAAGATTATAAAAACTAATTAATAGAATTATTTGTCGGATCGAACATCATTAATAGACTCCTATTAGGCGGAGAATATTGGTAATTTTTTTTGTTAAATATTTCTCATCGCAGCATCTCACGAACAAACATTTTTTTATAAATCGATTTTTTCAAAACCGGTCATTTCAACCTTCGCGAGTACTTAATAGACTACTTCACCCCGTGGAGTAAAAAAGACGGATCTGTGCATGTATCGCACCACGACACGGGCCGATCCCGTCCTACTAAGAACAAGCAAATCGATATTTGAGCCCCTCACTAAACCTTCCACTCATATCTTATACGATCCACGCATAGCGCTTCATAGACCCCAAGTCTTATTCGGTCCGAATGAAATTTCTCATTTAAAAAAAAAAAAAACCATACATTCATACGTACGTATGCCGGCAAATAAAATATATGTCATGCAAACATTCCGAATAAAAAAATATTTCCAAAACAAATACTCTCGAAAAACGCAAATCTCGATCTGCTTACTGCTTACTTGTAAAGTTTTTCTTTCTACACCGACTAAATGAAAAAAAAAATAATTAAATAAATATTTATTTTATTTTCCTTCGCAGGAAGCACCGCCGCTCCCGTGCGTTTGATTTCGTCCACGGTGTCCCCGCCATCCCCCGCGATTTTCCACGCCGCCGCCCCTTCCCCGCAGAAAGTTCACGATCCATTCTACACTTCATCACCCAATCTTCGCCACCGGGCCCCCATCTCAGCCGTACCGCGCGACACGTGGACTCCATCGCAGCCGCACGTCGGGTCCTCGGCCAACTTTTCAAACCCCCCTCACTCCTCGGGAGGAACCCGTCAAAAAGGCAAGATTTTTGAGAAGCGCCAAAGAAGCTCGCATGAACTATCATGGAAGTAACCCCCGCAACAGGAACGGACAACCACCAACCTCCCTCGACACCTCCTTTATATTGCGACGCCACGACTTGGAGAGGAAAGGGGGCTGCGAGAATGGCGAACGCGAGGGCGTCGAGGGAGGCGGCAGCCTGGCGGTGCGGGAAGCACCCGAAGCACCGGCAGTCGACCGGCGTGTGCTCGCTCTGCTTGACCAAGAAGCTCTCCCGGCTGTCCAGCGGCGATTACCTACGCGGCTCGGCCGGCGCGAACCGGCGGTACTCCTGCTCCACGTCGCCGTCGTCCTCGTCCTCCCTGTCGTCCTACCACTCGTCCTCCGGGTCGTCCTCGTGCGCGAGCCCGGTCGTCCACCACCGCCACGGCCGGTTCGCCCACGAGGCGAGGTCCGGGCCGGTGTCGATGCTCTTCGGGGGCAAGGGCGTGCTCAAGAAGAGCCGGTCCGCCGCCTTCGCGCCGAAGACGGGGCCCGGCGGGGATCGCGCCAAGGGAGAGAGGAGCAAAGGCGGGTTTTGGTCCAAGCTGATCCCCGCGAGGAGGAAGAGGAATGATGGAGCAGAAGGTGGTGGTGACATGATGCGCTTGAAGCACTCCTCGACGCTGAGGGAGAGGGTGGCCGTGTAATATATAAGGTTCATATCGATTGGTGCATGAAGCATTTTCATGAATTTTTTTTCTTTTAATTTTTCTTCTTAGAAATTGATTAAGATTTGTAGATCTACACGAGGAGAAAGGAAAGGAGGGATGGTTATACCAAAAGGGGAAAACCAATGCACACACCCAAATAAAGGGAGGTTTTCCCTTGTTGATTGTAAATTAATTAGGTTGTATTACTGCTTAATTGAAGGAATTTTAATTAGCAGAAGACCTTTACCAAATTGCTTTGTGCTGATTAATTCGTTCTGATGATTTTTCTGGGCACTGGTTTTGTCATTATTTGTTTGTTGAACAAGGAAGAAGATGTTGGATACAGGGAATCAAGGGATTTAATTAATCTGAGAGTACATTTGCTCGCCCCATAATTATGGGTAAATCATTGTCAAATATGTCGTAATTAAAAAATAATAATATTACAATTGACTAAGATCAAGAATACATTTCGGTTTTATTGACTCTTCGGTTGCCATGATAATCTTACCTACATGAACTATCGACAATTACATTTCATTAGACAAGTAAATTTCACTTAATAATGTCACGACAATAAATCGTTTCGGCTTAAAAATAGTCAGATCGCTCAGTTTTACTAATCGTTTAAGATACATTTGTTTTAAACAAGTACGACGTAACATGTATGTTTAGGCAAAAACAGATCAAGGCGAGGCTGGCGATAGTCGCCACCCCCCCAATCGAGGGATTTAATTAATCTGAGAGTACATTTGCTCGCCCTGTAATTATGGGTAAATCATTGTCAAATCTATCGTAATTAAAAGATAATAATTTACAATTGACTAAGATTGATAATATGGTTCGATTTTATTGGCCCTTCGGTTGATGTAATAATCTTACCTACGTGAACTATCGGCAATTACATTTTATTAGACAAGTAAATTTCACTTAATAATGTCGCGACAATAAATCGTTTTAGCTTAAAAACAGTCAGATCGCTCATATTTTACTAATCATTTAAGATACGTTTGTTTTCAAACAAGTACGACGTAGCATGTATGTTTAGGCAAAAATCGACCAAGGTGAGGCTGGTGATGGTCGCCAACCCCCAGGCCACTTGCCGCTTACTATAACTTTTCTCAAAATGCACGCTACAATCCATAAGATTTCATATTGTATGCATCGCCCCGGCTCCTCTAAGCTCAGGTCTCGCAAATTTCTCTTATCTCGGCATCCCCTGATCAAGTTAGGTTTCCACACTCGCTAGTGATTCTAGACCCGCGTCGTATCTATCGCCTTATCAACCTATATATAATATGAGAGCGCTTCAAGACATAATGCCAGGATCTCTTAAACAAAATAGGGCTAGTACAGCAGACAGCACGGACCGGTGGGGAACAATATCCGACTCTGTGGGGCAAACAAGCTGTAAGCAGCCCGAAGCCAAGCTGGAGATGAGCGTCCACGACCCGTCCGAGAAACTTCTTCAGGTCATTACATTCAAACTGCAAGCCGTCTTCTGTGGGTTAGATGAGACATGCCTCCTCCTAAGTTTCGTGGTCGGGGTCGTGGTCGCAGCTCGTGCGGAGAGAAAGAGAGACTTGCTGGTAGTCGTACGTCAACTCGGAACGCTGCAGTGTTGCCCCGGTTCGCGGCAGTTTCCTTGGGGGCTTTTTCTGCAGTTCTTCCATCAATCAGTCGTCGAGGACAAGTTGGATAAGAACTTCAAGATCTCGTTCAACGGTTGCCTGAGAACCAAGTATTCTCCGCGGGTTATCATAATCATCACATGGCGAGACGTGCGCGCTTTTTGCAGTAAAGGTGGTGAAAAGTATTTTTCCTTGTGATGGAAAAAGATGAAAGGAGGCTAAGTGAAGAGGAAGTGGGGAACCAAAGGAAAAGTCAAATACCATCTACTCTTGCTCGCCCGGGTATTGGTAAAATTATCTCTTATCTTAGTCTCCGTTTGTTTCACGAAAAATAAATAATTTAATAAATATTTTCCTAAATATTATCGTTCGTGTCACTTGAAGTAATTAGTAGATAATTTTTTTCATTATCGGCAATAATTCATATTTAAAAATTTTCTTAGACGATAAATTTTTTTTAATTCATCTATTTTTATAAGCGATCCTTTTTTAGGAAAATATTATCCAAATCATTCATTTTCTGCGAAACAAACGTATCCTTAGACTTTATTTGTTTCGAGAGAAATGAATGATTTCAAAAATATTTTAAAAAAAAACGATTGCTTGCATTGCTTACAAAAAATGAATGAACGAGATATATTTTCGTTGTCAACGTTTTATGAAAAAAAATTTCCACTGACTAGTTATTTCGATCGATACAATTGATCGTTTTTTGAAAAATATTTTCGAAATAATCATTTTTTTCATGAAACGAATGGGGCTAGACTTCAAACTCCGGGGCAGGAAAAGAATCAATTCCATTATCCACGGATATGTTCTTAAATATATCTTCACAAGTATTTATTCTCCTCTATAAGATAAATGTCGATAATTTATATCAGGTACGTTGTTGTGGATGACGTTATCTATTGATTATGAAAAAAATACCAATTAAAACATTTACCAGGTTATTCATACAAAAGGCGGTCCATAGGCTAAACTTTAGGAAAAAAATTTAAAAAATAAGAGTTTAAATATTACTGGCTTCTTCGCAACTTCAATTCTATTTTTACTATAAAGTATGTGGATTTCCTTATGCAGTGCCATATCCTTTAAGGCTCCGTTCGTTTGGCGGAAAATATTCTCCTTTTGGAAAATATTATCCCGGAAGTCATTTTCCTGGAAAATGTTTTCCCGGAACATAATTTTCTGGTGTTCGGCGACCAATATGAAAAAGTTTCGGAAAATATTTTTCGCCGGCGGCCGGCCGGCGGCGGCGGCGGGCGGCGTTCGGCATCCCGGCGGCCGGTGGCGGCGGCCGGCGTCCGGCGGCGGCGGCCGGCGGCGTGCGCGGGCGGCGGCGGCGGCGGCGGGTCGGCGATCGGGCGACCGCGGCGCCCGGCGACCTTAGTGAAGAAGAAGAAGAAGAAGCTCGGAAAATGATTTCCGCTTTTGAAGAAGCGGAAGTCATTTTCCATAGATTTATGCTATTTTGTGAAGGGGAAGGAAAATATTTTCCCATAGAAAACGTTTTCCGCCCCCCGAACACCGGAAAACCCGGAAAATATTTTCCGGGAGAATATTTTCTGCCAAACGAACGGAGCCTAAATGTATTTTTCTGCTGCTATTTTTTATCAGCTAAGCCGCAAACTTAAAATCTCGTAACCATAGCTTTTGATCCAAAATTTCATTTAATAATTGAAAATTTTATAAAGTTAAAGACAAAAATCTCGACCCTTTAATTAATTATTTTTAGTAGGACATAAGTCTCTATTATTAATTTATTAGCAACTTTCGAGGGGGGCCGGGCGTCCCTACTTGCCTCCCCCCTTTCTCCGTAGCTGTCGAGGTCCATCCACATCCACAGACAAGGGGGGGCCAAATGACTAACTTTTTTGGTGTCTCTTCACCTAGGAAACTTTACAAAATGAATTTAAGAAATTGACATTATCTTTTTTGGTGCATTTATTTCGCGAAAAACGAATAATTTGAAAAACATTTTTCGTAGAAATGATCGCTTGTTTCACTTACAGAAATAAATGAATGAATGAGAAATATTTTCACCGTTTAAGAAAATTTTTAGACATAAATTATTGGCGATAATAAAAACATTTTTTGTTGACTACTATTATTTGAAGAGATACAAGCACAAAACAAACGGACCCTTCAACACCATATTTGACTCAAAAATCAAAACAAAATTGTAAATTTAGATTGCTGATCGAGTAAGATCAAATATTGTTTTCCATTTTCATACTCTTCATTCTTCAACAGCCATCAATGGATTAAGGTATGTCCAATACTTTTATCTCCCTGAATCGTATGTTTTCTAGATAAGTTTTTTTGTTTTTAAATTTTCAGTTAATTTTATACCCTTTGATTCATTTTGCAATCACGGTATGTCCACTAGATACTCTATTTTGATTGAATACTCCACTTTAGTGATCTTTTCTTCTTCTTCTTTTTTGAATTTTTTACTGATATTATTGAGTTGACTTCATTTGAAATACCCATTCCTAACAAAATGTAGCTAAAACATTAGCTGCATCATAGTAGAAATTTTGCCTCCCTCGCCCACTCCAAATTCCTGGTTCTCATTGTTGACAAACTATTCGACCAAAATAAAAATAAAAAATATTAGTTAACAAACTACCGTTATAGTCTCACAAGTAGATGAGATTTTATTATTATTATTATTATTCATGTGTTGACTTATTTTTTAGGGAAATGTGGGTTGCTTAGTGGGGGCCAATTCCAAAAAAAACCCTCAACTTTATACTTTGTCCCAATTATATCCTGAACTTTTTTTTGTCTCAAGAAAAACCACAAACTTTTATCCAAGTCTCAAATCTACCCAACCGTTACAAATCCGTCCATCTAACGGAAGGAAAAAAAAAAAAACAGAGAACCGGGAAGGAGCGGTGGCCAAGCCTTCGCCGGTGGCCGCCGCCACAGCCGCCGGGAAGGAGCGGCGGCCCTCGCCTGGGCCTTCCCGAGGGCCAGCGACCCTTGCCGAGCCTCGGGCGGGCGTGCGGCCCCGATCACGGGCGAGGGTCGCGCCCTCCCCCATATCGGGGGCCGCACGCCCTCGCCGGCGACTCGCCGGGGTCGGCGAGGTCGCCGGCCCTCGGGAAGGCCCGGCTCGGCCGGCGACCCTCGCCAGAGCGGGCGAGTCGCCGCGAGGGCGTGCGGCCCGATCTGGGGGGGGGAACGACCCTCGCCCCAAATCGGGGGCTGCACGCCCTCGCTGGCGACTCGCCCGGGGCCGGCGAGGGTCGTCGGCCCTCGGGAAGGGCCAGGCGAGGGCAGCCGCTCCTTCCCGGCGGTTGTGGCGGTGGCCACCGGCGAAGGCTTGGCCGCCGCTCCTTCCCGGTTCTCTGTTTTTTTTTTTTTTTTTCTTTCTGACGTTAAATGGACGGATTTGTAACGGTTGGGTAGATTTGGGACTTGGATAAAAGTTTGTGGTTTTTCTTGAGACAAAAAAAAGTTCAGGATATAATTGGGACAAACAATAAAGTTGAGGGTTTTTTTTGGAATTGGGCCTGCTTAGTGGCATTTTGGTTCATTTCCCCTAAACCCTTTAGCTGAAAACAAGGATGGAGGTGCAAAGTTACATTTTCGGAATGCAGGTTTACTATTCATTGCACTATTCATCGACTGTTTCATCTTCCCCAAGTAACAGGTTCGTAGGCCGATGACTGCCGCCTAAGGTCGGGCCGGCAACCAGAACTGGCCTTTGGCGGTTGGCTAGCTAGCAGCCGTTTCGGGCCGCCGGTGGCTGAGCTTCACCCCAAACTTTTTTTTTTTAAATATTAGCAAAAGTCCTTTATAAAATATAGTTTTTACTAAACGGTATTTAGGTCAAAGTTGCTTTCAAATGTGATTTTAAAATATATTTTACCAAACACTACTTGTATTTCGGAAAACCCCTTTAACCCAAAGGCCTTTGCATTTTGCCAAAGGCATTCCTCCAAAGTCGAACCAAATGGGCCCTAATTCATCTGGAATAAACAACGTGAGATTTTCTTACTGTGTATTGCTGCGCTAAACTGGGATTATTACTTAAACCTACGAGTCAGCAACACGAAACACTTCGTTTTCCCAGCACAATATAAATGAAGGGCAGGTGTTTCTCTCTTCTTCTTCTTTTTCCACTTCTTGGTTGGTGATGAGGGGCACTGGTTAGGCTTACATTGTTGTCTACCAATTTTGAGGTTCACAACTTGGTTTGAAATCCGACTTAAAAAAGTGGCAATTATTCATAATTGAAAGAGTTCAGGTGATAATTGTATTGGATTTCTTGACTTAATATCCAAGTTTGAATCGCTGCACTTGCACTTTCTGCTGGGGAGCACAACTTTGGGTGCTCCGATAACTAGAGACTATAACACCTAATAAAGATCTGTTGGGTAATGACCAGATGCCCTATTGGCGGTTGCCTAATCTTTGAGGGCCATTGCTCATTGTCTTAGGTCCGTTTGCACATGTAAAATTATTGGACCTCGAGGCCCAATAAAATTCAGTCTATGAGCATGGAACTCCATAAGATCCATTCCATGTGGAAAATCTTGTGTTCGGTGTGTTTGGTTCAGCTTCTCTGAAAGACTTCAGGTGTCCAAATGCACTCGTGCCAAAGCCGAGGTGTTTGGTAACATAATCCAAAGGTCTTTGAGATAAAGTTAGTAAATCTAAAATTCATTAATTCAATGCAATTCCCATTCAGTATTTGTATTTGAGCATTTTCATAATGCTATTTTGGGGGTTAATGAGCTTTAGTTTCGTCCAAATTTGTCATCATTGATATTTTTGTATTCTTGTTATCCCCTCACCCAACTGTTCATCATCTCTCTTTGAACCAAATGCACCTCTTGTGGCTCCAAATTCTGGTCGACGCGTGCCCAAAGTGATCGACGGTTGAAGATCGACCGTCACGAGTTTCTCAAGCGGGATCTAGAGGGCTGAGGGTCACTAAGGTCGTGCGACCCTCAGCATTGCCTTGCTTGAGATTGTGTGACCTTAGCGTCGCCTTGCCAAGCCTCTTCAACGGCTCAACCCTCGTCGCTTCCGATCGCTTCCACCGGGTTTTGCTTCCATGCGGGTCGAGCCTCTCCATTCTCCCTTTCCTGTTCTTTTTTATTTTTAAAAAAATTGCTTTTCATAAAACTCGTATTTGTCTACCAAATGATATTTGCATTTAGTGAAAAACCACAGAAAAACGGAAGTGTCGGTGACGGTAACTTTCTCAAATTTGTACTCGTGATTTCCTGAATGTTTTAGCAAGTGGACCGTTTCCCGCAAAAGGATCAGAAAACAAGCAATGATGGACCAAAACAAAAGGCACAATAATGACAGCCACCTCCCAACCAGAGCAAGGTGAGTAACAGAAGGATCCGTTGCAAGTCAATTTTATCTTAAAACGTCGTCGCACGTGAAAATAAAATTCAGAGATCATATTACATATTAGGTCAAGATTTATGAACCGTTATTATCATTTACCTAATCTCGGATATAAATGTCAAACACATGAATTTGACTTACTAAAGTCCATCCACGGATTTTATAATTCATCGTGGATCATCTCATTGGATAAAATTTCATTTTTTCAAGAACTAAAAAAAAAAAGCCTAATTTGCAAAAAACAAAAAAACACATAAAAAATGAATTCCGCAGCCGACCATCCCCGCTCAGCACACACTCCCATACACAAACTCAATCTCTCTCTCTCTCTCTCTCTCTCCAGACCTCCGACCTGCATCAATGGCGGAGCTCAGCTGTTGAAACCTCCTCCGTAGCTCCTCCCCGTCTTCGGTTTCTCTCTCGGGCTCGGCGGAGCAAGGAGGGGGAGAGAGGGGTAATGCAGAAGCTGGGGCGGAGGGCGCTGGTGGCGCTCCGCCGCCTCCTGACCGCCGCCATATGCGCGATCGCCCTCCTGGCTCTCCTCTCCGCCCACCTCCGCGCCTTCCCTTTCTCCTGCCTCCCCAGGATCGCCGACTCCCGCAAGCTCCCAACGGTAATGCCGCCGCCGCCTGCTTCTCCGCGTCATTGATCCTCGCTCGTTTCCGCTTCGCCGCCTCGGCCCGCGGGTTCTCCGGTTCGATGAGAATTTCGTGTCTGGACTTTCGAGCCGATCGGGGCCTTCTCTTTTTGATGATTTGCTTCCATTCCATTCCATTCCTCTTTTTTTTTTTTTGGCGATCCCGTTGCTTAATTGGATGGAAAGTCTTCTGGGCTCGGCTGTTTATTTTTAGGGTCGATAATCATGGGCGATGTTGACTGGGTTTGGATTAGGTTTGCCGCGCATTATTTTGGACACTAAGATTAGGATGTTGACTTGATTGAGAAAGTTGCTTACTGGGTTTGTTCTTAGCAAATTTGATGTTGACTGTTGAATGTGTCGTTTTTGGGATGGCAATGTTTGGTTTCAGTCACTGATCTTTATCCTTTTTGTCTTCCCCGAAACTTTTAGCAGTATGAAATGAAGTACCAGAGGCAGGGCACCGAGCAGAGCTGGACGCAAGAGCTCGTGCCCCCCCATTTTTCGAAACCTCCGGCTTCTTCTCGCAAGGTTCTTTCCATCCCTATCAATCCAAATTTGCTTGTCTGATCCATTTGCTTGTCAGAGCATAAATTTTAAAATGGGTTGATATTTATGGTATGGGAAAGTATGCATCATTAGTGAGCTTATAACTTAAATCATGATCATATCGAGTTGATAATTTAAATTTTACAATTTCTATCTAGTGTATTCAATCTGACACTTTAGATCAGTAATGATGCGAAGCAGTCATGCGCCTTTCATAATTCACTCCCTTGGACTTGACAGTTAGATGGCGCAAACAGGAGTTCACAATCTGTCAAGCTCTGGAAACCCCCTCCGAATCGTAATTTCGTGCCGTGTACAGAACCCGGTCTAGACTATACACGTGAGTTGGCATTTTTATTAATATTTCGTTTTGGTAAATGCACATTGCCAACACACTTAATTTCCTATTTTCATCTGTTTAGCTCCTGGAGGTTCGCGAGGTTATCTTCTAGTTAGTACGAATGGCGGACTTAACCAGATGCGAGCTGGGGTATGTCTTTTCGTTCCCTTCCTTACCTTCTTGTAATTTATGTAAACTGAAGCTGTAATTATCTTTGGTGAGTTGTGAAAAGCAGATAATATGTGTGAGTGAATGTGATGTCTGGCAATGTCTCTTGATGCTAAAATGTGATGAATAAGCGGGGATTACTCTACTAGTTATCTACCTCCCTTCATGTACAGAATGATTTTCCCCCTCAATCTATGTACATTAATAGCTGTGGAGGCAATTTTAAAAGTTTTATAACTACCATTCTTTTCAGTTATTGAAACTTTGTCAATTTACCTTATTCATTGGCTTGTGTTTTGGTGACAATGACATGAAGTTCAAGTTAGTGAGTGCCTTTTGATCTATTACATCAGATTTTTATCTTCTTTTTTGGGGAAGTCTTGCCCCTCCATTATTCATTGTTATTCTGAGTATAGAAGCATTGTTTACACCACAGTTTATAGATCTAATTGATTGGAGTTGCTGAAGATTTGAATTGAGTGCCTTTTGATCTGTTACATGAGATTTTTTATCTTCTTTTTTTTAGGAGTCCTACCGCATCAACTATTCATCGTTATTCTGAGTATAGAAGCATTGCATACACCACAGGCTATAGATCTAATTGATTGGAAGTGCAAAGATTTGAATTGTTAATCCGGCAGTATAGTTTTTTAATCAGCCAAAATGCTCAAACAATGGATTGTTATGACACTTGGTTCATGACCCTTTATCTAAACAATTGACCTCTTATCTAAAGAACGGCTCATACTCGTGGAATGCAGATATGTGACATGGTTGCTGTGGCTCGTATTATTAGTGCCACTCTAGTGATTCCGGAACTTGATAAAAGGTCATTTTGGCAGGATACAAGGTAATTTTCTTTATCTGAAAAAGATTCCAACTCTTTTCCTTCAGAAGTAACGTTTGAACTGTTCAGGCAGCAAACGAAAATTTTCTAAGTTTGTTATATGTTAATTGCAGCAACTTCTCTGATGTTTTTGATGAAGATTATTTCATTAATGCTCTGGCTAATGACGTGAGAGTTATAAGAAAGCTCCCCGAAGAACTAGCAACAGTGGCAAGGGCAGTGAAGTATTTCAGAAGCTGGTCTGGTATGGATTATTACCAGAATGAGATAGCTAGCATGTGGGACGAGCACAAAGTATGTTTTGAATAAAGATTATTGCATTTTTCTTTTTAAACGTTTTCCATAAAGATCATTCTTATTATCTTTGTTAGTTCAGATAAATTAGTTAGTTCAAAGGCTCTTATTCCTCACAACTTTAATAGGTTATTCGAGCTGCCAAATCTGATTCTCGTCTGGCAAATAACAATCTACCACCTGACATTCAAAAGCTGCGTTGCCGTGCTTGTTATGGTGCCCTTCGTTTTGCACCTAAAATTGAAGCGATGGGTAAAGTAAGATATGCATCTGCCTGCTAATATTATTTCCAGAAATGCTACATCCTTGTATCTCTAATGATGATTATGAATGCTGTTACTCCCCCTTGCTGTAGTTATTGGTTGATCGGATGAGAGCTCATGGTCCTTACATCGCTCTTCACTTACGTTATGAGAAGGACATGCTTGCTTTTAGCGGATGCACACATGACTTATCTGAATCCGAAGCAGATGAGCTCAAGTTGATCAGGTCTGAAATCATATGCTAAATTTTGACTTCCTTCTGCATCCAGCTAACGACTCTTCTTCCAAGATATCATTGTCTTTCTCCTTATTTTCAAAAATGCTATTGATTATGACAATTAACAGAGAGAATACTTCGCACTGGAAAGTGAAGGAGATTGATCCTGTGGAGCAAAGATCTAGAGGATATTGCCCACTTACTCCGAAGGAGGTTGGTATTTTTCTCGCTGCCCTGGGATATCCACCAAACACACCTATATACATTGCTGCTGGGGAGATATATGGAGGTGATTCTCGTATGGCTGGTCTGAGAGCCCGCTATCCCATGTTAATGAGAAAGGTAATCACCTGGCTTAGCAATTTGATGCCTCTGCTATTTCTTACTTTTAGTTGACTCAATATTCTCTCTGTAATATGGTTGTTACAGAAGAGCGAATATCGCTTCTTCGATAAAGCGTCACTTCTGGTCTACTCTTTTTTTTTTTTGGTCAAACACTTCTGGTCTACTCTGAGAATAGTAATTTTTGTGTTTCTTGAACAAGTTCAAAATGAACCAATGAAAAGTTAGAGTATGGTGATGAGGACATTTATAGTATTAGTGTGGACCAGAAGCAGTGTAAACCATATCTAACTGTACAGACATGCTTCAAACTTTCAACTCTGATTGCTTGCACACTCCATACAAACCACTGATCATTAGTTGGGCAACTTGATCATATGTATGATACATCAAAAAAGTTAGTGTCAGTTCTCCTGGCATTGTAGTTGGAACTTACTGTCATGATACTTTACAAAGGTATGGCAAGAATGACACTAAGCTGATTTTGGTTTTCATGGCAAGTGCACTGTCTTTGTTTTGTTTCTGCTCTTTGTAAAATTGGGTTTTCCAACTTAACTTGGTGGTTCCCTCAAAGTTTTAGTATGATTTTTTATTCAGTTACTGCTCAAATCACCCAAAAAGTTGGAAATTAGAAAAAACCAGTGGGCAATCCAAAAGCTTGAATAGTCTACTGGCAACAATTGTTTAGCTGTGTCGTGGCATGTAATTGTTACTGTATGAGGGTTTCACATGATTAACTCAATGTCAATGCAGGAGTTTTTGGCTTCGGAGGAGGAACTTCAGCCTTTTATGAATCATGCTTCTCAAATGGCCGCTCTTGATTACATTGTTTCAGTTGAGAGTGATGTTTTTATTCCGTCATACTCTGGAAATATGGCAAGGGCAGTTGAAGGTCATCGACGCTTTCTCGGACATAAGAAGACCATTTCTCCTGATAGGCAAGTTAGCTTGTTCTCTAATCACTTTTTTATTCTGATATTTGACTTGAGTAATTGATTGAAGTGCATTTAAATGTGGGGTTTTCTGACTCATCTTTTGATACATCAGGAAAACTCTTGTTCGTCTCTTTGATAAAATCGAGCGCGAACCCTTGAAGGGAGGGAAAAAGTTATCAAACCGAATCATTGAACTGCATAAAAGAAGGTGAGCTTGGAGTCTTTTCAACAATTGCTTATGTATTGTTACTTGTTAGACTTTTTGACATTAACTTAAGATGCAAGATCGAGTCAATACATAAATTCTTAGAAGAGTTTCCTTCCGAAAAATTGGCTTGCTGATTCCCAAAATTTTTGTTAGTGGTTCTTGTCCTCATCCCATGTATGATCTCCCCTAGTGAAGACTAAGAATTACTGCAAGCGCTTGAACAGATGCTTCATGCCTATTTATATGCGGGTGTCTTGCCTGTTATCATAGATTGCTTTTTTATACATTTTTGTTGCTTTTACCACAAAAGATTGATTTTGGGCTTTTAAGAGAATCAATGTGATTTTGTAAATGAACTTGATGCCACCTACTACTCATAATTAACTTCTTTTGAGGCTGGTTGCCCGCAATTATGAATGGAAGATGTTTCATTGATTTTACAGACTTGCAAACGATAACCATTTCGGAGACTTTACCTTAATGGATTTCTTCTCATCTGCTAAGTTCGGTGTAGAATTAGACATGGTATTTTCTGCTTGTTTCAGGCAAGGATCTCCGAGGAAGAGGAAAGGGCCGATTGCTGGAACGAAGGGCACGGACAGGTTTCGGTCAGAAGAGCCCTTTTATGTTAACCCTTTGCCCGATTGTTTATGTCATAGGGAATCACCAACCTCGAATACCTCACAAATCAGTTAACAACATAGGTTGCAGAAGAACGGCATTCAAGAATAGTTCCCTTTCACAGAGGCACACATGATTGGTTGCTGTATTTCGAGCGTATTGATATCGCTGATGCCTCAATGGGAGGGACGCGGAGCATGTATATTTGAGGTTAGTATATGTCGGCAGGGCAGTTCATTGGATGTACATGGAGAAAACATTTTGCCGGGTGAGGGGAGCTGGGGATAGTGAAAAGAAAAGGAGTGCATATCATGGACGAGTTGGTCGATTTATTAGTATAGTAAGTAGGTTATTTTTTAGGAAAACAGTGTTGACTCGCTGCTTTCAACTGTACGAGAAACATTTCGGACATGTAGATTTTCGAATCGGAAGGAAATAGAAGAGTGTGCCATACTTCCACCCATCCTCCTTTCTGAAACTTTCCAGACATCGTGCGAGGTCTTCTCTGCTTGTGGAAGTGCGAGTTTCCATGAAGCCGAACGTTAACAAGATATAAAGTAGCGTATGTATTGTATGACTCCCGTTCACCAAAGTTGCAAGATGGTTTCTATTTATTTCTTTTGCGTTTCTTTGCACGCAAACAAGGTCATCCTATACATATGCCGTTTGCATCTGCTACAAATGGAAAATTTTCCTTCGCCAGCTTTTATGCCTTGGACAATTATTTGCTGCATGATCTTTTTCTTCTTCCTTTTTCAGGACTTATGCTGCTTCTACGCTCATCTAGCGTGCTTGTATGGTGAAATTTATTTTACAATTGGGATGTTTTCCAATTTCTTCCAAATTAGAGGGAAGCATCAGTGCGGTGAGATCAGCTTGTCAACTAGGAGGTATAAGGCAGACAGTAGATTTTGCTTCGAACTTCTGAAGCTGGTACGTTGCTATCAAATAACAATATCACCTCTCGCGCAAGGAGTACCATCTAGTTTTTCGTATGAGATTATTCAAGCCGAGCCATCAGGGTCGATAAATGGGCAAGCAACCACCTAATTTTAGACTGCATCATGGCTGAACAAGACTAACTTGCATCGCCAGAGAGAACCTCCCAAACAGGAAGAATGCCACGAGGACCGCCACCTGACTCCAATTTGAATTGACAAACTCGCACTATAGACACCAATTATTCCAGGTTAAGAGAAAGGTCGACAGAGTCAGCGAAACTGCAAAGGAAGATATAACTTTCACGAAAGCACCTAACCACCAACTGATTCGATAACTCACCAGTATCTTTTTATTCAGCTGGTGTAACAGCAAATAATTTTATCTTTCAACACTATAAATTGAATTGTCGCACGGCAGGCAACCATACGTCTATAAACTGACAAGCTCATCCTTTGTGGTGATAAGCAATAGTTACTTATGAGTAACAAAATTCTTTGTTAGACCTTGAACTGGTTGCAACAGGCATGAAAACTTTATTAACTCATTTTCTTAACTCGAGAGTTCATCTCGCTCAACAAATCTGCCACGGTGACGCAGAAAACTAGGAGAGAACAACAAAGGCCATGGACTTTAATGATGTTGGCAACTTTTCGAGCGTGGCCCATCTACAGAGGGCCAGGAAAGGTGCCATTCTCCCTTTGCTCATTCCATCTATCAACCTGGAACCAGGAAAAAAATATAGTAAGCTCTCAAGCAAAAGTATTACCAGTAAACTCCAAATAGAACAAACAATTGCATGATTAAAAGTAACTAGCTCCTTAAGACAAGAATTACAAGTAATTGAATAGTAATCAGACACCTAATCTACAACTCAACCAACTTTGAGCATCACATAGAGTAGGAGTCCTGCTGGGTCTACCAAAGACTAAAAGACACGAAACAAGGTCTTCTAAGCGCCATATCGGTGGACATTTAGTAAGTTTTCAGTAGAATGAGTTCCATGTGTACCATGCATCTGTGACTAAGACTCATTTAATATAAAGCAGTATTGACATTTAAAGTCATGTACAATTTTTTCATAGTTTTAAGAATAAAAATAATTTGTATTTGGGAAAACTTAACATAAGTAACACTTGCTTCTTTTTTCTAAAAGAAATGCCCCAAATGCCACCCGAGCAAAACACGGCCATGCTAACGGAAATCGCCTAGTGTCCCCATAGACTCCTACCTGTCACACAGGATGCATTCTGGAAATTTTTAACTCAACTACTGCAGAGACAACTCAGACCTACCACCAATAGATAAGCAGGTGAAAACAGCCTTTAAGTTGCCATAGGCGGTGGTCTATTGACACTGTACTCAAGTGCAGATCGAGGGTGCATTTGGGAATGATTTTCAAAGCAGTTTTGAGCACCCAAAGATCCTTGAATAAAAGTTTTAGTGTTTGATAAAAACTCTTCAAAAAATTTTGGCTCAAAGCTGTCTTGAAAATGCTCAAAGCTCAAACCACGACTAAATCTGCCACCCTGGCATATAGCAGGCCAGGCTTCTGATGAAAGTGAGATCTACTTTCCCTATCAAACAACATCCCTCCTGCACGTTCAAAGCTATCTTTTCACTATGGTATCGAACTCGCCAGTTCAACCAAATACCAGTCAGCACCAGTCTGGTCAGTATCCTTTGGAGGTCAATACAGGTGAAGAACCGGGTTAGAATCCAGTTCAAACCTGTCAAACCAGCATAAGGTTTCGTTTTGATTGGCCTCCAAAAATTAATTTTCCTCAGTAACAGTACAGAGATTCAAACCCTTGCTGTGGTGGACCATTGCTCGCATGCTTATCCATCAGTGCTGAAAGCGGTTCTTATTAAAATGAGCAAACAAGTTACTTAATGTAAAACTATCATTACCGTCTCGGCGTCTCTAGTAGTGAAGCTTAGGCAGAAAGACTCGAACACACTACCTCAAATGCCTTTCAGGCATGCTCTTGCCATCTTGGCTGGGTTTCTAATTTGTCATCCATGTGTATTACTTTATATATATAATAACTATTTTTACAAGTCAATTAAAATCAAACAGGATTCAACTGGTTGAAATAGTTGAACTGCACACCAGTGAGCAATCCAATCTGGTTGCTAATACAGCTTTGAAAAAATTGGTTTAGTCTGAAAGCATGAGATAAAGAACCAACAGTGACAAATGAGGATGCAATACTACCTGGAAATTGGATACGAGATAGTCAAAACTCTAAAATTACATAATTAGGAAACACATAATTACAAGGAAAAGAATTTGTGCTGAGAAAAGGCGTTAATTTTACATACCCATTCACCAGGGCAAAGAGCACGATAGTACTTGGCGAACTTTTGACAATCTTGGGCATCCTCACCTTTGGCAGCAATGCAGCTGAAATTTCCAAAATAAAATAGACCGGAGTAACTGGATATGAGAAAAACAAGAAAAAACCAACAAAACTTGAGAACCAACAGCAAGTCTCCCATACCGATGATACTCAATGTATCGGGTAAAGCAATGTCTTGTTTGATTTGTGGTTGGGAAACGGAAATCTGCAGGTGCAGTCTCAATCTGGAAAAACAAAAGAGAAATCAATAAGACAGTCTGACCCCATGCCATATGCTCACCAGCAAATAAAGTAACATATACGGAGAACTCACCTTTATCTCTGGCGCTTCTTCAGCGGCCTCCTCACTGCTTGAATTTTCCTCTTCATTTCCTTCGTTGCTTTCCTCAGCAGCAGGAGCACTTTCAGCACTAGCAACTGCAGAAACCTCTTGAGTGTTGTCTGCAGAAGCATCAGGAACAGTGGCACTGCTGGTTTCTTCGGTAGCTGAAGTTTCAGCACCTACAGCAGCAGAATTGTCCTTCCCCTCAGCTTTCTCACTGACAGCTTCTTCAGAAGCAGCATTCACCGGTTTTTCAGGTTCGGGGACATTATCGGGTTTCGCAACGACATCCAGCTTCTCTACTTTCTCCAATAAATATTGCTGCAAACAATATCTAATTTGTAAGCTAAAGAAACATAATAATAAAGAAAACTCTCAATCATGGAGAAGAAGATGCTAATATTCTTAAATTGACAACAAGAACACAAAAAGTAATGTGGCTGCCTTTGTAAGCAGGCACGTAGGACAGAAGTACTTGAGCACCATGATTACAAGCTAAGCTTCCAGAACAAAATATGGGAAGTTTTCTATTTGGCTGCTCAAGAACAAAATGGTTGTCTGTAACAAAATATGAAGATGTCCGTGTTTGAGAGATAGATGAAAAGTCTTTTAAACTTTGTTCAGATCCTTAGCCAGGAAAGCTTAATCATAAGTCTCTTCAATCTTCACCTTTTTTTGGACAATTGAATGGACATTCAACAAAACAAAAGAGTGACACAACAAAGAAATAACATAAGTGTCACAATATATATTAATTACTATATTCAAAGAACTGAGAAAAAAACCACAATCAATGAGTATTCTGGAAACGTCTAATACTAGTGCCTTGTATTAGCCACATGATCCATCCCTTTGCCGGCTACTCTAAGTATACATCCATTATTCGTCTGATATTTGACCAAAAGCCCAAGCATGATACTATCTAGAGTATGTAAGCTAGTACTCCTACTCAGTTTGGCTCATTATGTTGACCATCCGATTGGAAACAAATCTCAGTCTACCATTTAGTCAGGATGTAGTGCTGGTGGTAAGGGGTTGTGACCATATAGGAGAGGCGATATGGAACAAAGAGGTAGCGGTAGTGATGGTGGTTGTATGGAGGAGGCAGTACCAAAAGTTGAGTCGAAGGTAGTAGTGATGCTATGGAGGTTAAAACGGTAAGATGATGGTGGTGAAATAGTTGAGGTAGTTTTGCAAATAGTACTAATGCACGATCTTTGCTTCAGACAGATTTCCTTAAAACTGTACCACATAATTATTGTATCAAATTTTGATAGGCTTGTTTCTCCATAATCAGCAATGTAATCGATAGATGAAGTCCATTCTCCTACTTTTGGGCCCAGCAGGTTTGAAGGTAACCAAGGTGGTGGGTGGTGATAGTTGCACAATCCTTTGTTGTATTTGAGTATTAGTAAGTAGAGGGAAAAGTGCACTAGAAATTCCAAATCTTTTGTACGGCACTCAGTTTAGCGCAATAACTTTCTGATCGCTCATTTAAGTTCCTCAACTTTCAAATTTCATTCATTTAAGCTACATCAACCACTTGCTTGCAGAAAAAGCTTACGTGGCATTATTTCAAAAAACCATGTAGGCGAGATTTTAACATCAAATAGTGCCACGTGTTCCGCAATCCAAGTCGCGGAGTAACATAATGGACGAAATTTTAAAGTTAAGGAACTTCAATGAGCGACTGAAAAGTTGTGGCACCAAATTGAGTGCACGGTGGAAGATTTGAAAATTCTAGTGTACTTTTTCCGTGGTAAAAGTAGCCATGGAAAGTAGAACTGATAATGGTGAAGAGTCATTGATACAAATAAAGAAGCGACGATGTAGGAGGACTAATATGGCAACTTGCCACAAAGGATGGAGGAGGAGATGGTGACTATGACGGTTGTACACAGGTGCTAGCTAGTAATGTCTTGAAAAATGGAATCTCAATAGGTCTAGCTACGTAATCCAATTCCATACTTTGGGAGGAAGCTTGTTCCCCCACTACATGATTTTGGAGATCACATTCCTTAAGTAAATGAGCCCTGGGTAATACAATTCCAAGATGAATTTTCTTGTAAAATATGGGAGTACTAATTCACGGAATCTCATGTCCGGAGTAATACAATTCTGTTGTGAACCAAAGATGCCCCAAAACCTAACAACACCTGAAATGGTACCGTTGCAACCAGCCTTCGCTTCTATCTTGATGGTGTAATCACTGTGGTGAACCACTGATGTCTATCTAAGACATCCTAAAACAACGCACTAATGTCCTTGCTCTCTAAACTAATCTAACTGATAGTAGTTAATAGTTGGAGAAAACCATATGGTCTAGCTATATCTACAAGGAACTATTTGCCGCTAAAATGCCGACTAAGATTCCAAAATCTCGCCGTACTATCACAAAAGGTAAAGAAACTTCAGAGTTGCCTAAGACATTATTATGCTAGGAATCTTCACAAGACAATGATCTTCTCAGAATCAGATAGTCTTATAAATTGAATACAGTTTAGTCTTGCTGAAAGAAAATTTCGCGAACGTAAACTTGACCTCAAGGCATACGGATTGAATTTCCTAAACCATCTATGCTTTTACATAATTGTCTTTCGCAATTCTTAGGATCCTACAATGTGCAGCTCATGAAGTGTATATTTGAGGGACACAGCGAGTCAACAACTGATGGCAAGCATCCCAATCTGAATAACCTCAGCTTTGCTAACTGAGCAAGTAAGCACGCTTCCAATGCATAAAATCCGCAACGAGCAACGAATCGAAAAAAACGCATTCTCATGAGCAGCTGCCGAGTGCCTCGAAGAATTGCAGGTTCTTTCCCTCCCCTAGCTAAACAATGACGAAAGTTTCTCCAGTCACCCTCAAATTATGGAGCAAATCTAGCAACCCAAACCAAAATAAAAATATCGAATCTCGTTCCATCCGACCGAGACAACAGAAACCCATATCGGTACTGGACCTCAGGAAGCACAAAGTTCGATGCTTTCGCCATCATCGCGTTTCTCGCATTTCCAGTTCGATCAGATCGATCAAAGAGCGGAAACCAGAAGGAGCTAGAAATTCTAGCTTCGAAGCCAAGCAAGATCCACGCTTTCAGGAGGAGATCGATGAGCTTACCTCGGCCAAGGTCGAGGTCTTCTCGCCGCCCTGAGCTTCCGCCATTGGAGGGGGAGAGATAGAGAGATAGAGATGCGGTGCGATGCGATGGTGTGTGTGTGTTCTCAGAGCGGCGGCCCAAAGAGCAGAAACAGTGAATCCGCGAGTAAAGGAGTGAAACCAATGGAGGTTTCGAGGAATTGGGTTAGGTTTTGGAGGACCCCCGGGTGGACGGGTGTGTCTGTGCTACCGACTGCGAGTGGTCAAGAGGGCGGAAAGGCTGACCGGGACTGGCCAATGAAGGTCTACCACGTGGCGGTTTCTGATTTGCCGAGACTGGGGCTCCCGATGACCCGCGGGGGAGATGAGATGGCAGTAGGAGAAGCTGGTGTTGAATGGACCGGGCCACCGGGGCAATCGCAGGAGGAGGGATTCGCCCAACTGGCCCATTTCTGTCGTTTTAGTAAACTCCTTGAGGAACGCAATGGTTGTGTTTGGTTCGGCTTCAGGGTAAAACCTTTGACGAAAATGTAAAGGATTTTAGGCTCTATTTTGTTTAGTGAAAAATACGATATTTTTGGAAAATATCTTCAAGAAATCATTTAATATATTTCAGTATTTGGCTGAAATCTGAAAATGAACAGAAAAATATTTTGCGGAGGATAACCCTCCCGTTTCCCCTCCTGATGACTTTGACAAGATCTCTTTCTCCCTTTCGATATGAAAAATCTGATTTGATTTTTCTAAATAAACATATATTATTTGAGCGCTAGGAACTTGCGCATGGACAGCCGGGGAATCAGGTATGGGCATTAGAGTCTCGGGTTCTGCCTTGATGGACCTGGGTCGGATTGGGTTTGCCGGGTATAGGGGCACGGGCACCTAGGGCCCAAGCCTAGGTGTTGGGGATTCAATCTCGGGTATTGGGATCCCGCACTCAGCCTTTCTGGGTCTCGATAGACCTAGGCGCAAGTGCCGAGGGCTTAGGTACGAGCATCGGGGTCCTGGGTTCAACCTCGATGGACTCAAGCGCGGGTACCGGGGATCCGAGCATTAGCACTGGTGTCACGAGCTTGGCCTCAATGGACCCAGGCTCGAGCGCAAGATACCTGTTCCTGGATGCTGAGGGCTTGGGAATCAACGTTGGGGTTTTTGTGCCCAAATATAGAGTTTCGGGTCAAACATTGATACCTAATCATATTTTCGAAAATGATTTTCGAAGTATAGATTTGCCGTTGATTCATTTTTCTAAGCAAACTAAACGCCAGAAAATGTATTCGCGAAAAATATTTTCTAATAAACAAACGGAGCCAGATGAGAGGGGTTTTCCAAAATGCAAATAGTGTTTTGTAAAGTGTAATTGAAAAACACATTGGGAAACAATTTAATTTAAATGCCATTTAAAAAAAAAACTACACTTTGTAAAGAATTTTGGTTAGTTTTTTATTTTTATTTTAAAATTCACAAATCTTTCTGGCGAAACTCAGCCACCGTCGGCTGGATCTTGCCGCCTGTAAACCACACCTAAGGTCGCACTACCCTAGGTGACCATCACCTAGGTTCCGACGACCCCCTGCGATGCTGCCTTAGGTCGAGCGAGGCTAGCCGGTGCCAGACTCGCTTGCTGGCAAACAATTCTAGCCTTGCCGACGGCCAGCCGACCGCCTGAACCCTTGCTAGTGAGGTTGCACGAGGTGGGCATACTTACGGAATTATGAAAGTTGAGCTAAGGCAAAGTTGGAAAAAATGTATTTGCATTCCAAAAATGCTCAAAGCTAAAGCATCTTTGGATCAGCAATGGGCTAAAAGCCTTTAGGGCCCGTTTGGTTCGGCTTTTCAAATGCAATTTGGAGAAATGTAAATACCTTTAGGTGAAAGCCACTTGGGGAAATGCAAGTGGTGTTTGGTAAAAAAAAATTTGTGAAGCTACTTTGATCTAAGTAGTGTTTGGTAAATTTTTTTTTTGCAAAGGGCTTTGGCAATTTTTATTCTTAATATTCCGATTTTGCCCCTATTACTATTCATCTTCTTGGGCGGCGAGGGTGGCCGGCGAGGGCGGATCTGGCCGGCGAAGGCCCGGCGAGGGGCCGACGAGGTCGCCTGACCGAGGCGACGGCCGCCTGGGGTCTCGGGCGACCGCCAGTGTGCCGTCGCTGGGTCGGCGGTCGCTGGAGTCGCGCGCTCGCTCGGGTCGCGCGACCTCGGAGCGACGGTCGCCTAGGTCGCGCGACCCAGCGTGCGCGACCCGGGCGACCGTCGCCGAGGTCGCGTGACCCGAGCGAGCGCCGCGGGTCGCGCGACTCCAGGCGACCGCCGATCCAGCGACGGCGGCGCTGAGGCGGTCGCCCGACCCAGGTGGCCGTCGCCCGGGTCGAGCGACCTCGCGGCCAGATCCGCCCTCGCCGGCCCTTCGCCGACCACCCTCGCCGGCCACGTGAAGAAGATGAACAGTGACAGGACAAAACCGGAAAATTGAAATTTGAGTGAGGGCAATTTGGGAAGAAAAAATAGGCTTCAGCATTCCACAAATGCCGAAAGCCCAAAGCTGGTCCGGACCAGCTTTGGGCTTTCAGCATTCCAATGGCATTCCAAATGCCGGCTTTCGGCTTTCCGAACTCGGAAAGCCGAACCAAACGGTTCAGCATTTTGGGAAGGGGCTTTCGAGGCCGAAAGCCCCTTCCCAAAGCTGAACCAAACGGGGCCTTAGTGATTTTTGAAAATGCAATTGCATCTTCCCAAAACTTTCCAAAATATTTGCCAAATGGTATTTGTATTTGCCCATAGACATTGGGAAAGTGTTCCCAAACGCAACCAATGAACTTGGCTTTATGCATTGACGTGATGTATTCGATCAACTGCAATGTCTGCACACCACGCACTTCAACCCAAAGATTCTCTCTATTTCCGACCAAAACAAACCCATTTTTATTTTGAATTTTGACGCCATAAATTATCTCTTGGCTGACTTATCAAAGTGTTACAGATACACGGTATAATTAACTGACGACGAACAGCGCCGGCGGAAGAGGAGGGAGAGGTTTGGTCATAAAGTTTTTGTGTGCACGACCTTTTTTTTTTCCGGATATACGGAGCATTTTGGTAAATTTTGGGTAAATAATCTAATGGGACCCTTGTCATTATTTGATTGTTGAAGTGTCGAACATTACACGATGTACAACAATAAATATCGAAATCGAATGCACGAATCGATCGTATGTGTTACATGTGGAAATGATTTCATTCGACATCGCCGTGACGAATGAAAGTGGCAAACTATCTATCCATCCATATGATGCAGCGGAGGCTTTTCCCATGAAGCAGCAAATCCAGAGCCTGGTTGATGTCCTGGAAGCTCACCTCCTGCGTTATGAAGTCATCCAAGTTGAGCTCCTGCTTCAGAAAACAGCCAATGCCATCATTCTTCTGTGAGATATCTCGGCAGCATCCAAAGAACGTGCGAAAACCAAACGGATTGAGCGTTGCGTACGGAAGAACATGACGCGGTGAAAGCGAGAGATTAACCTGATCCAGGTACTTCTGAGCGAGGAGAGGGAGGTCGGATTTGGGTTTCAGGCCGCCGAAGAAGGAGCCGATCACCGTCCGGCCTTTCATGATCTCGTAGGAGCCCAGGCTCAGCGGTGCCCCTCGCATCTCCACCCCGAGTATTACCGTCTTACCTCCGCCCTGTTCACCTCCATAACCACAAATCCATTAGCTACTCATGCATCGCACTCATTGCATGTTTTCACAAAATCATTGCGCAACACCCTAGTTTTAGCTTCTTTTCTTATTGTAGCCACTGCAATTGCAGAACATGAAATGCTGCACAACACTTTTTTTTATAACCATCCGTCTCACACTCAAAAAGAAGTACAAGGATATATTAAATATGGCTTTCATGCTCTTTCTGAATCGCGATTAGCTCTGTTCAACAAGCCGGTTATATCTCGGGGTCCCAAAACAAGAGAAAATGAGAGGAGAAGAAGAAGAAGAAAAACCTCTCGGCTGCTGTTGAAGGCGTCCGCCATCACTGAAGCCAATCCGACGCATTCGAAGCTGTAATCTGCACCCCCATCCGTTATTTCTTTGATCATCTGATCACGACGACTTAATTCGCATTAGAATTTCAAGTACATTGATTTCTATCATGTTTATTCTCCGTATGTGTAAGAACGATGAAGACTCCAAAGATTGCCACCAACCTCACTGATTGGCTTCTCTCCACAAGCCTCAGGGTTGACAAAATCGGTGATCCCGAACTTCTTTCCTGTCATTAACCCCCCCAAAAAATCAATGGGTTTGTTCATTTTTCATAAATTAATGCATCAAGAGAATAGATGAAGCCTGACATAGTTCAAATTAGTTTACCCTTTATAAATAAATTTCTAGGCATCATTAACTAATAGACAGAAGAAGCACTAGCAAAAGCTTGACCTATTTCGAACTTGTCAGGATTCAAGTCCACTCCTACGATCTTCGAAGCTCCTCTCAGCCTTGCGCCTTCTGCTACCTACAATATTGAAGAATCCGTGAGAAATGGTACTTGGGATGTTCTTTCATGCACTCAATTGAGATTCATAAAATAAAAAGAGAGAGAGAGAGAGAGAGAGAGAGAAATGTTGCCTCTAACACAAGCAAAAATGCTAGCTGGGACAAACCGTTATTGGCTGTTATATATGAATCGAGAAGGAAAATATATGCACGCGTTAATGTTGGGGCTATAAGCAAGTACTTCGGTGAGCAAGCGATGGTTCCCACATGCCTGAATTTAGGAAAATATTGTTCACTTTGTATGCGCGGCTGGATGCATAACATAAGGGAAGTGCACGTTGGTGACACATTAGTTGCGATGGGGAGTCACCTACGAGCATAGAAGAGCGTGGTACCGCTGCCCCTCTCTAAGTAAAGGTAAAGTCTCTCGTTCATATGAATGGTTGAAAATGGAAAGAAGTGGAAAAGGGTCAAAGGCGGTTGCTAGCATTGAAGAGAGCCGTCATCGACGAGAAAGTGAGCATTCGGACTTGGCGAATGAGCTCTTGCGGCGGGAGAGGAAAGCGGGGCAGGCAAAATAAGCATTCCAGTGGCTGATAGTTGAGCACAGGGTGGATAAAACATGGATAGCCATGCCTTATCATCCAAAGGGATTAGAAGGAGGAAGGGCGTTATGCGGCTTCTTTTAGAGCGCACGCGTATGATGGTGAGCAGCAAGCTGGCGGTTAATCTCCATGATTTCGACAAAAAGTATCAACTTAGGTCTGCAGCCATATAACTTGGGGGTGGGTGGAAATGGACAAGGGACAAAAAAAGAACACGAGAAGAAGGGAGCAGATATGAGCGATTACCGCAAGTCCCACCACTCCAAGACCAAAGATGACGACGGAGGAGCCTTGTTCTATGTCGGCCACCTTCCATGCACCTCCTACTCCTGCAAAAATCAGAATTCCGTGGCGATCAATTCATCTTCAATGGACTCCAAACTCGGGACGTCGACAGGCACATCAAGGAAGAACTCACCCGTGGAGACACCGCAGCTGAGGAGGCAGGCCCGGTCGACGGGGATGGGGGAGCTGATCTTGACAACGTGAACCACGTCCACCACCGTGTACTCCGTGAAGCTGGACACTCCCAAGAAGTGATGTAAGGCCTCCCCATCCTTTGCCCCGCTAAACCTGCCGGTCCCGTCCCTCTGCATCCCTAGACTGGGAGGCCGGTTCGCGAAAACGGAGCAGCTGTTGCTCTTGGCGGACTTGCAATCTCTGCACTTCTCGCAGTTGGGAGAGAACACAGGCAACACCGTGTCCCCTGCCTTCACCTCCTCCACCTTCTCACCCACACTCTCAACCACCCTTCAATTGTTTTCAGCACTCGAATCATCACTCATCACGAAAAGCGAAGGCACTCCATGTTAATCACACGAACCTAAACACCTTCATCTTTCACCCCACTCTCATTTCCAGAAACCTGGTTAATTTTGATTCAGATTCGCTAAAACGTTGGCTATTTTCTTGCTCTTTTTTCTTACTAATTACGGGATTGATATAACTATCCTTTTGCCGCTGAGACAATAATGCATAAAGACTTTAATTTGGTACACCCGTCTAAGAAAAAACAAAAGGGTATCTCTCCATTTCGCATTAAATTGGCGATATGTGATATCTACAACAATTTTTCGAACACTTCCCATATTTAATACAACTTATTTAAACTATTTCTTGTGATAAATCCATGTGACCAGCTATAACATGTCCCCATATTAATAAATTATCAAATTTAAGATTAAGAGTCTCTCTCTCTCTCTCTTCCCGTGGGAAGGGATAAAAAGCGACAATCAAGTGCTAAAACAGAGGAAAAACAGAAGGGAAAAAGAAGGCAACAGTATATGATTCTGATCAAATTAACAAGATGCAAACAGCTAGTGAAGGCGTGGAGGGTGACGCAAAGAAGAGATCAGATTCGTACCCAACGGCTTCGTGACCCAAGATCCTCGGGAAAACAGCAAGTGGACCCTGAACAAAACAAGGCAGCACATTACACCATCGTCATCTTGAAGTTCATATCTTGTTAATACCTTCTACTCGAATACAAATATAGTTTCCAGAATATAATGATGCGCATTACCGAATCCATCTTCCAAAAAGTGACGTCGGTGTGGCAAATGGAGGTGCAGATGATCTTGATGCGAACCTCCCATGCCTTCGGCGGGTCCACCTGTATCTCCTCCATCACCAGTGGCTCTCCTGCTCTTCTGCATACTGCAGCTGCTCGTTTTTTTTTTTTTAACCCAAAAAGGACAAGATTTTAACCATTCCAGCACAAAGGTACGATAATCGAAGTAAAGAAAAGAAAGAAACACGTAAAAATTTGTGTGAAGAATGCGTACCTCTGCATTTTATGGGTTTTCCTGCGGTTTCTGATGCGTTGGTCTCCATGGGCGATGAAGTTGGAAGATGAACCCCTCCTGTTCTGGCTGGTTGAGGTCGGTGGAGGAAGATGAGACGACAACCACTTCATTGATTCTTATTCCCCAATATTTTAAACTTTCCTTGTTCTGAATTATTTGTGGTTTGTGTTGGTGTTTAGACAGAGAGCATTAGGAAAAGCAAAGTCGACTGTTACAGGAGCCAGCAGACGTTGGTCCGCGATCACATCTTGGTGGTGGTCAATTTGATCTGTCGTCGTTCTGGTGGAATGTTAGCCCTGCACTCACCATCACATTTGCGGAGCTTTATGATTATTTTTCATGTCAAAACCACAAACGATCCTAACTGCTACAACTACTTGATTATAATAATAACAAGAATAATACCAATAACAACAACTACTACATCTAAATTATGGGAAGTCTCTTCTTATTCCCAGAATAGTGGAAGAACAAGCGTGACTCGCGCCGATTCTTTTTTGAACCCTTTTCTTAAAACGTGATCATAACCGTGAAACGTTTCATCTAGATGTTGATCTGTTTATCATACTGTAGCTCTCTTTTATATAAACCATCTTCACACATTAGATTTCTAGTTGGATCTGCCATCTAGTACTATACTAGCTACTTGACTTGTGCTTCGCTAAGGCCGTCGGATGGGTGGATCGGATCGAAAATGATTCGATCCAAATTGATCCATTTGACTTGTTTCGATCTATTTACATGCAATACAGATTTAATGACCATACCCGACCTGACCCAACATATAATACTAAAATACAACCATATTTAAGATAACCTATGAAAACCCATACCTACTTATTAAACTCTTTTTAAACTCTCCATGTGTATGTGTTAGTTTGAAAAAAAAAAAGAAAATTAGGTGAGACTTAAAACTTTTAAAAAGTGCAATCAAGTCCTAAAATTTATCAAATTGGTGCAATCGAACCATTCCATTAACTTCATCCAACATTGCTGAGAGAAAGATGTTGAGTGGTTTTTTTTAAATATTTTGTCTTTCCTACGTGGCTAAAACGATGTTGTTTTGCTCCAAATCTGATTTGTAATACCAATTTTATTTAAATTAGATTTAAAAATAAGCCAAATTAAAGAAAAAAAGGGTTGAGACCAGGTAGGGAGGGTCGCCAAGCCTCGACCAGTAGGTAGCTCGCCAATGGTGGCCCTTACCTATGGTTGCCTATGGTCAGCGAGGGTCGTTGAGCCCTGGCCAGTGGCCGGCGAGGGTCAGCGAGGGTTGCCGGCCACTGGCCGGGGCTCAATGACCCTCATTGGCCAACCTCCACCCTTGTCGGCGGGGTAGCGATGGCGAGGACCGTGCAAGCCCTTGCCGCCTGGAACCATTTTTTTCAAATTTAATTTAGCTTATTTTAATTTTAATTTAAATAAAATTTGTATTAAAACTTATATTTAGACCAAAACGACTTCATTTTATCCTTATGTTTCATGTTTTAGCCACATCATCGCCACGTAGGAGAGAGAAAATAATAATAAAAAGTCGCGTTAATATTTTCCGTTAGCTAAGTTGGACATAGTTATTGAATGACTCGATTGCACTAATTTGACAAGCTGTAGGACTTGATTGCACTTTTTGTAAGTTTTAGGATTCAGTTGCACTTTCATGACAAGTTTTTAAAAAAAAATTAACACAATAAAAATGTTAGTACTAACTCATTTCGTGTTAGTAAACCCTAATAGCTAAAAAGCAATAAGTAGCTTGAGTGTTGGGGATTCCCGCTCGGATACCAGGATCCCGCGCTCGGCCTTTTTGGACTTGGGCCTGAGTGCTGGAGCATCGGGCATGGGCACTAGGGTTTTGGGCCTAGCCTTAATAGACTCGGGCATGGGTGTCAAGGGCTTGGGTACGAGCATCGAGGTCGTGGGCTCGGCCTCGATGGATTCGGGCGCGAGCGCCGGGGATTTAAGCACTAGCACTGGGCTCACGACCCCGGCCTTGATGGACCTAGGCCCGGGCGCCAGAGACATGATCTTGGACATTGGGAACCGGCGTTGGGGTTTTCGTGTCCAAGCATAGAGTTTCGGGTCGAGCATTGATATCTAGTAATATTTTGAAAATCATGTTCCTAAATTTAAGCAACAATTTACCGTTGACTACGAAAATATTTTCCGTTAACTCATTTTTCTAAGCAAACCAAATGTCGGAAAAATATTTTCCATTTTCTGTGAAACAAACGAAGCTAAATGAAAGGGTTTTTTGAAAATGCAAATATTGTTTGGAAAGTGTTAATTTAAAAATAAATTGGGAAGCAACTTCAACTTAAATGTCGTTTGGAAAAAAACTATACTTTGTAAAGAACTTTTGGTTCTTTTTTTCAAAATTCCAAACCTTTCTAGCAAAACTCCGTTGCCGCTAGCAAGATCTAGCTGTTGGCCAGCCTCACCTAAGGTCGCGTGACCCTAGGTGACCATCGCTTAGGTTTTGGTGACCCCCTCAACACCACTTGAGGTTGACAACCTCAGGCAAGGCTAGTCAGCGCCGAATCGACTTGCTGACAGCTAGCCACTTAAACTCTCGCCGATGAGGTTGCGTGGGGTGGGGACATTTTCGAAATTATGAAAGTTGAGTGAAAACAAAGTTGGAAGGAAAAAAATGTATTTGCATTCTGAAAATGCTCAAAGTTCAAATTACCTTTAAACCCGCATTGGTCTAAAGGCGTTTAGTGGCTTATGGAAATGCAATTGCATCTTTTCATATCTCTCCAAAAAAATTGCCAAACAGTAGCTACATTTGTCCAAGAGGTTTTGGAGGCCCAAGGTCCTTGGGAAAGTATTCTCAAACACACCTTATGACTTGTTTTTATGCATCAATTCCCCGATTGATGTGATGTATTCAATCAATTGCATTGTCACCATACTAAGCACACCAACGCAATTTTCTCTCTATGTCCGGCATAGAAAAACCCATTTTTATTTTGAATTTTGACACCATCGGTTATCTCATGGCCTAACTTATCAAAGTGTTACAGATACATGGTACAATCGATTGACAAGTGAGGTGAGAATAGAACCGGCGGCTCCGAACAAGTCTGGCGGAAGAGGAGGGAGAGGTTTGGTCATGAGGTTTTTGTGTGCACGACTTTTTTTCGAATATACAGAGCATTTTGGTAAATTTTTTGTTAAATAACCGATCGCGACCCTTGTCATTATTTGATTGTTGATGTGTCCACCATTACACAATGTATGAATACAGCAATAAATATGAAAATTGAATGCACGAATCAAATAGTGTCTCGACATCGCCGTGACCAATGAAAGGGGCAAACTATCTATCCATCCATATGATGCAGCGGAGGCTTTTCCCTTGAAGCAGCAAATCCAAAGCCTGGTTGATGTCCTGGAAGCTCACCTCCTGCGTTATGAAGTCATCCAAATTGAGCTCCTGCTTCAGAAAACAGGCAATGCCATCATGCTTCTGTGAGATATCTCAGCAGCATCCAAAGAACGGGCGAAAACCAACACAGATCGAGTGTCACGGAAGAACATGACGCAGTGAAAGCGAGATATCAACCTGATCCAGGTACTTCTGAGCGAGAAGAGGGAGGTCAGATTTGGGTTTCAGACCACCGAAGAGGGAGCCCACCACGGTCCGGCCTCTCAGGATATCGTAGGAACCCAGGCACAGCGGCGCCCCCCGCATCTCCACCCCCAGTATCACCGTCTTCCCTCCGCCCTATTCACCTCCATAACCACAGATTCATTAGCTACTCATGCATCGCATTCATTGCGCATTTTCACAAAATCAATGCCCATAACTGTAGTTGTAGCTTCTTTTTCTGTATTGTATCCACTGCAGTTATAGAACATGAAATGCTGCACAACCCTTTTTCAACGTTGCACACCCTCTTGGGAATCTTTGGCCAACTTGGCCTCCCGAAGCTAAATCTACAGTTACCTCATTAAAGATTCCGAACGTGCAAAATTTTTCAGAAAAGTCAACGATGGGCGTCACTCAATTGAGAAGCACGTTCAATTTTGTTACTTCATGTCCTTGTGATTCAAACCCTTTTTTTTTTATGACCATCCGTCTTGCACTCAGAAAAAAGTATAACGATATATTAAATATGGTTTTCATGCTCTTTCTGAATCATGATTAGCCTGTTCAAACAAGCCATCTACAAAATGAGCGAGCGCACCAGTTATATTCCGTGGTCTAATAAGAATGGGAGGAAATGAGGAAAGAAGAGAAAAAACCTCTCGGCTGCTATTGAAGGCGTCCGTCATCACCGAAGCCAATCCGATGCATTCGAAGCTGTAATCTGCACCCCCATCCGTTATTTCTTTAATCACCTTCATCATGACGAGTTAATTTGCATTAGAATTTCAAGCAACCCATTAGTGATGGTGAATCCATGTTGCACATTGATCTCTTCATGTTTATTCTCCATTTGTATAAGAACAATGAAGACTCCGAAGATTGCCACCAACCTCACTGATTGGCTTCTCCCCACAAGCCTCATGGTTGACGAAATCGGTGACCCCAAACTTCTTTGCTGTCATAAACCCCCCAAAAAATCAATGGGCATGTTTATTTTTCCTAAATTAATGCATCAAGAGAATAGATGAAGCCTGACATAATTCGAATGAGTTTACCCTTTGTAAAATAAATCTCTAGGTATCATTAATCAATAAAGAGAGACGCTAGCTAAAGCTCGACCTATTTCGAACTTGTCAGGATTCAAGTCCACTCCTATGATCTTCGAAGCTCCTCTCAGCCTTGCGCCTTCTGCTACCTATGACACTCAGAAATCCGTGAGAGATGAAACTTTGAGATGTTCTTTTCTTGCGCACAAACGTGATTAATAAAATGGAAAAAGAGAGCAATATTTGCCTCCGACGCGAGCAAAATGCTAACCTTCCAATACCATTATTGACCATCAGATATGGAACGCGAAGGAAAATATATGCGTGTGCTTATGTTAGGGCTATAGGCAAGTACTTGGGTGAACTGTAGAAAACCGTGTGCCCGAACTTGCGAAAATATTGTTCAATTTTCTTATAGTATCATTGTCAATCTCCATGATTTCAACATAAAGCATGAACTTAGGTCTCAAGCCATATAACTTGGTTATGGTGGAGATGGACAA